CTTTCCTTAATTTAAAAGAGTATTTTATTTGGTAATGAAAAACTCAATATTTCACAGTACATCCTCTAGATTTTCTCAATAAATCTTGGAAAACTAAAACATTTTGTAGAAATCATTGGGAAAGCTTTAGTGACTAAAGTTAAAATGATTTTGCTCATTTCCTGCTATCAGTCTCATTCACTCTGTGATAAATAAGCAGCTGAAGAAATCACCTCTCTCTGAAGAGCTACTGTATATTACTGTTAAGTTACATGATATAAAAATATCATACTGATCTTTGCAAGGAACAAGAATGTAAGTCAGCTGTATGATTTTATTTCTAACCTTTCAAATAATACTGCATTTTGACTGTAATTCAGCTCAAATTAAATTCTTCAGAGAAAATATTCCTTCAGATAATCCTAGACTTATTTTTTTCAATATTCCAGTGATATTTTAAAGCATACAGAATACTTCACTAACTCATGCAAATAATAATTATGCACTTTTTGGTTGGCATTCACTATAGCATTACTCATTAATTCATTTGGTTTCAATACAGATCCCTCATCATTCTCACTGGAATTCAGCATTAACAACCAATTAAAAATAATTGTGTTTATATTGCTTCATGATTTTAGCAACTATTAATACCAGAAACACGTGAAGAGTTAGTATTTCCCTCCCCTACAGCCTAGCTGCCAAAAAGACTTCAAGGCTGCATATGAAATCCTACAACAACTAAATAATAAAAAACAACTTTTCATAGTTAAGCATGAAAGTCTTTTTCACTGAAATACTGGCTTACCACAACTCCAGTGTACAAAATCTTCATACAGGGCTCTACAATAAGCAAGAGGGCCTGGGCTAAGCAAGTACCAGCCTTGGCTCCAAAGAAAACTTTCCAGTGACTTTGGTTCCAAACACATTTATTTACTCAAACTTCCACTAACATAATAATCCTTTGATGACTAAGTTATGAAGTTCTGTTTTATCTGACGACAACTCCAGACTTTTCTGTTCTACAACTGTGTTCATAAATGATCTAGGAACATGCAAACAGCTTTAGCAAAAAGCTTAGAATCCAGGGACCTGATTTCAATAATCTGATCACAATGTGACTCTAGGACTTCAAAAATTCCAGAAACTTGGCTTTTTAATATCCACAGAACTTCTAAATATATAATGTGGTTATCTAAAAGCATAAATATATTACACAGAATTGAAAAGCAGTGACAGTACTCTTAAACTTCATCATAAATATTTCTGTGCATAGGATCGCAACGTCTAAATTCATACCGGCATGAAAAAAGCCATGATTAAGTCTTAAATTCCATATTTATGACTCACTTGTGAAACAAACAGACTGGCAACCCACCCCCAAAAAACACAACTGTAAGGAAATCTACTATTTGTTTTTATACTTCAGCAGAAAGGTCTAATCTATGCCAAGCCATTGGGAGAAACATATTTTTAAATGTTCTATGGGTCATTACCTTGGGATCTGTTGGTATTTACTTTGTATGGCTATTACAGGCATCTACTTCCAGCCAATTACAGAATATAAATATTCATTTACCTGTTCATTTCACTACACGTGGTCAAAGTGCATGCTGATGAAAAATGGTAGGGAGTGAGGAAAAGAGGAGGGACAAGACAAATGAATAACTTGCATGATAAAAGGAACAAAACAAAGTCATTTTTTTTTTAATTGGAATTTGGGCACCAGGCATGGGTGACTAATGGCCCCTGAGTCGCCAGCTGGGGGGGGTGTGGTGTCTCCCTGTGGTGGGGGGAGTTCCCTGCCGGCACTTCCGGTTTTGTGGCTGGCACTCATGCACCCACGTGCACCCCCTACACGTCGCCAAAGCCTAAAGATGCCTGTCTATAAAGTCCATTAAAAAATAGAGATGTTTGTAAAAAATTAATAAGCCCTGAGCTTATTATTGATTGAAACTCCTCAGAATGAGACTTGATTGAAGCTCCTCAGAAGACTGGTGCACAGGCAGAGCAGATCAATTGCATCTGCTGTTTTAGCAGAAATACAGCACCCTGCACAGTACATTCTCTTGAGGCTTTATGTCTGAAGCCCTCTGTCCTCCCCTCCCTCCCCTCCCCCAGACATGTTTTGCTCCTGCTGCATCTAGCTGCTTGCCTGTGATGCTTGTTGGGTTGCAGGTGGGTAGACAGCATGGCCAACAGGCACAGGGCTGAGGGGCTCGCTATAGTGGGCAACATGGTGCAGGGTACGGCCAAGGTTATCAGGATGAGGAGGTTAGTATGGCCCCCTGGGTTGGTGACAGTGTAAAACCATTGCTGCAGTCAAGAAGGGCTGCCAACCCAAGACATTTTTTTAATTGACACTCTGCAAATATTTTACTGACAAACTTTTTTACTATGGTTGGTGTTAAACCCATACATTTGAACCTGGCTCTTGTCCAGTGCTTGGCAGACAGATTAGATTTACATTATGTAAAACATGTCAGTAAAAAGATTGTTAGTAAAAAAAAAAAAAAAAGTTGTGTTGTTTTGGCAACCTTGTTGGGTGCCCTAGACAGAGGATGTTGAGTATCAGACAGCAAGCAGTTTAGCATTGGGGAGGAGCATTGCGGGGGGAATGCAGGAGAGCTGCTAAGCACTAGAGAGCCCTACACCTCTCTGCACACAGATCAGTACTGCTGGAGATCCCATCATGGCACAGACAGCTGCTGCCATGGTGTGAGCTCCTAACACATAGGTGGCAGCTGTTGCTGTTGTTGCACAGGCCTCCTTTAAATTGGTGGCTAGGGCTGCTGCCCTGCCCACCTACCCCCTGATTAAACTACTGGACACACACTTCCATTGACCAAATGGAACTGTTTGCAGAACATGAAATTGAGTGCATGTATACACTCAATTCTGCAATGGATTCTGGATCAAGCCCCAATCCTGATGATTTTATTGAAGTAAAACTACAATGTTCATATTGTCCTCTGCTTCTAAAACCAACAAGAGTTTTGTCCAAGGTCAAAAGGAGTAAAAACTGAAGGTTTTGGGATCAGACCATGCACAAGTGAACACTTTATTATGCAAGAAGGAACAATAAATGGTACAATGCTTCTCTCCCTCAATAATGTTTTTTTTTATGTTTAACATAAAAATTGCACTGAATTTTTTCATACCAAGAGATAGTGGCATCAAAGATTAAATATGTTTGGAATTCCACAACTATTGCAAGATTAATTTTGGATTATTATAACCATATGAAGAAGGAACCTTAACTGTGGCATGTGCTAATTTCTGACTGTTTGACTTTGCAACCTTAATAATGTTCTTTTAACAGAGCTATACTTTGTTATATGAAAAAATGTCTACAGTCTAATCTAAGTGGTTTACTTGTTGAGAAAAAGGCAAAAATGTAAGCATTTCAAATATGTATGTGTGCACAGCTATTAACTTAACATATCTCAGATATAATTTTTACTTCTACTGTGATTTTTGGAAAGAAAACAAATCTGATGTGCCAATTACAGATGGCAGAAAACTGTGTGAATGATGAAAGAGTGAGAACCATGATGTTTATGGGTGTCTATACACAGGCTCTGCAGGTGGAAGGGAGAACATGTATAGAACATGTCAGAGCATATGTATAGGCATCCTATGTATCTTCCTAAAATATACTGCTTTTTTCCCCTAAGACTCTTCTTTTCAGAATTACACGTATATAGATGAGTGCACTGATTGCTAATGGTTTAACATGCAAGAGCTCTTAAATAATTTATCAAATAGCCATGTTTTAATTTTTAACTTTTAGCATTTTTAAACTACTAATATAAGATGATAAAACTAGGGAACTGTTTTTATAGAGATTAGTAGAAAGTGCTAAAATGCATAAAAAAGTATCATGAAATGCAGGAAGACACAACTGTTCTCACTTCATTTTCATTTTACCTGAAGTGTAAGGCACTTAACTGCATCCCATACTATCCCAATAAATTCTTTCATTCTCTCCTCAGGACTTCTGCAGCTTTCAGTTGAGTTCTGCATGGCTTTCACTGGAAGTGATAAAGGCCGAGATTCTAAAGCAACCAACCAAACAAAAAAAAACCATGGTTACTGAGATGATATGTACCTGACTCAGAAATAAATTGCTAATAATATTAATATAAGATTATTTATTTTCTTTGAAGTCTTTACATAGATTCGCTTTGACTGTGTTTCAGTGACAGCAAGAACTTCATCAAACTAGTGGACTTTTATTTGTTAGATTCAAGTTTGGTGAGAGAAATGTATTAGCTAAGCATAGTAAGAAATTCAGCATTTTATTAGTTCTACATTTTAATAATTCATCATTATCATTCCTAAATTTTCCTATGAAATAAATCATAACAAATACTTGACCTAAGCAACTTCAGTTATTTTTCAAAGTGCAATAGCATAGTTGGTGATGGAATGGTAATAAAAAGATTTTCCATAATAATTACTGCTGGGGTAACAAAAATAAAGTTTTAGTTTTGTAAACTTGTTGCAAAGAATGAGAGGGGGTATATGTTAAAAACCAGTTTCTGATTTGTTTTCTCTACATCTTTGTTTAATGAAAGCTTTCTGAATAAGTACACAAAAAGATCATACTTGCCAACTCTTGAAAGCATACGTTTAGGAGACAAACCTCAAAAACCCATTAAAACTTTTAAAGTTGTCAAAAATGACATTAGATAATTTACCAAATATATTGTGCATAGTAAACAGGATTTTGAATATGTTTCATTAGAAGCCCCACAAAGACACTAACTAGCAATTAAATTGCTAACTTAGCAACAATGAGAAAGAGTATAACAGAATAATTTCCATACTGTTCCTTATATCTTTAAAGCCTAAGATGTTTTAAAATGTGCTAAAATACACAAAAAAGTAGCATAACATATTCTAGTTATGAGAAAATAAACATCACTGTAACCTATTATATTTGAGTGTATATTTAAATTTAGTTATAGTATGTGAATATAAAAATGGATGCATTTGTAAGAATGTCAGTGAAGAGACATACCAAATATTATTACAATTCCTTTTTCAGCCAAAGCAATAAACGATATGAAGATTTTCCCAGATGTAATATTAAATTTCCCTTTTAGTATTTTGAAAAACCCTTTTATGTACTCAAGCTTTTCATTTTTCCTATTCCAGAATATATATTATCATGCAAGCACATTTTTGAAAGTACAAGAAATTTTCCTACCTTATTTTAAAATAAATCTAAAAATCAGTATAGGAGTTGACTTTTTTCAGAATTCTAAAGCATATTGCATAGGAATATGCAATACAAAATTGTGCAAAAAAACCAAACCCCAAAACCAAAAAATTGAACATGACAAAATCTGATCATGTGTCTTTTTCAGGCAGTGTTTGATTCTTACTTAATTTCTGTCACCTAAGAAAACATAGGGCCTAAGGCAAAATATTATATTTTAAAGTACCAAAAGGGGCAGGATTAAGGCAACAGCATGCTGTTATAGGAATTAATCATTTAATCATTAATATTTCTCAACTGAAAACTATGAGACATAAAGACTATTGTAGATTAATGTTTTAGGCAAAATCCTTGTCAGTGCTTAGATTTCAAAATTTAGATTAAATGATTGTAATTACAGACCATTTTAAAAATAAAGAGGAGGTTAAAATTTATTGTATGTAAGAGAAAATATTCTGACAATTCAGGAAGCAGAAATCTGGATAAAAGAGCAAGGAAGAAAGATTATTATGGCTATGTTATTTCAGTTATTTTAATTATATGGAACCAAAAACAGGGAAAAAGGATGGAGAGACGACAGAGAGAAGGATACTGCAGCAGCAGTGAAGAAAGGAGAAAGCAAGAGCTTTGCCATCTGGATTGGAGAGAATGAAGTTAAAGCTTTGGCTTTTCAAAATGGGTATATTGTTTAGAATAGCTATACTGTACTAACTCCTTTTGCAGACACACTTATTCTGCTCTAAAAGTACATTTGTGAGGGTTAGTTTAGTCCACATTACAAGTGGACAAACCTAAAATGAAAACAGAGTCTTAAAGTGGACAAGGGGAATTCAAGAAGGCTTTAAATTTTCAAAGTACCACAATCAACAATAGTTTCCCCATGTAGACAAACCCTAACACTAGAAATATTACACAGTACAGAACATCAAGATTTGGTTAGGGCATGAATGTGAAAGGCCAAGAGAAATGGAAGAACTGATAGAGGTTAGAGTGATTTCAAGAACGCAGGGCTGGCTAGTAGGAAGAAAAGTAGTAAGCTGACCATGAGACATCAACAAGGCAAGTTCAAGGCAGATCCTTGCACAGCTGAGAATGGCAAAACACGGGGAGAGAAATACTAGGGCTAAGTGAATATATTCATTTGTAGTGCTTCTCATAAACGAATTGGAGAAATGTGGACTGGATAAAATACTACAAGGTGGATAGATAACTGGCTTCAACAGCTGTAAGCAAAGGATAATTATTAATGGATCCATGTCAGAACTGCAGAAGTTTTTGAGCAGTCCCACAGGGATCTGTTCCGGTCCCAGCACTATTCAACATGTTTATTAAGTATTTTGAATGCTGGCACAGAAAGCTTCTTGAGCGAGTTTGTGGACCACATGAAACTGGGAAGGACTATGAAAACACTGGAGGATGCAAGTGTAATTCAAAAGGATCTTGACAGATTGGAAAGTTGGACTAGAGATAAGTAGGTGAAGTTCAATACAGACAAGATGCTACACCTCAGGAGGAATCGTCAAAAACAAATACAAAAAGGGGAGACACCTGCCTAGATGGCAGCTCTATGGAAAAGGACTTGGAAGTCTTGGTAGACCAGACTCAATGAGTTTGCAGCCCCAGAAAAGGCAAAAGTGGTTTTTGGCTGCATCAGATGCAAGACATGGGAGGTGATAGTGACTCTCTATTCAGCATTGGTTAGGCCTCACCTGGTATACCGTGTGCAGTTCTGGGCTCCGCATTTTAAAAAGGACATGGAGAAATTAGAGAGGGTCCAAAGGCAGGCAACAAAGATGATCAAGAGCTTTGAAGGCAAGTCATATAAGGAGTTAGGCATGGTCAACTTGTAGAAAAGGTGCTTAAGAGAGGACATGATAACAGTCTTCAAATACTTGAAGGAAAGAAGAGGGAAAGCACATTCTCTCTTTTGCTGTAGAGAGGACAATGCAGACCAATGGCTTCAAGCTGCAGCAAAGTAAATTTAGATTGAATATCTGGAAAAACTTCTTCACTGTGAGAATAATGAGACTGCCTATGAAAGCTATGGACTCTCCATCAGTGGAAGTATTCAAGAGGTTGGATAGCTGCTAGTTGGGGATGATCTAGGGGTAACTATGTCTATTTTCTATCATGGGTATTTCCCATGTTTCTGAGCTTTGCTGGTTGCTCCCAACCCTCCCTTTTTTCTGCTACATGTGTGTCAGGGTGTTTTTAAGGCTCCCCAGAGGCATCGGCTGTTGGGGACTTCAACTGAGGTGTGCCAATTCTCCTGCTAGGAGCAAAGCTAGAGGTTCCTGGCTAGAGGGTCTTACCTCTTCACTCAGGGCCAAAACGATTTACCATATTTGGGTTCTAGAAGGAATTTTACCCCATGGTCAAACTGGTATGGACTGTGGAGATTTTTTCCTTCCTCTGCAGTGGAGGGGGAGAGGTGTGTCCCTCTACCTAGGACGTCTTGAACATAAATGGACAACATTTTATAGAGGCAGGACACTGGCTGCTGTGGTTCCCGTGCTTTACCTGTGGCAAGTTTGGATGTTAGGTATATGTTGCATCAGGGTTGAGGGTCGTCTTATGTAGATTTTAGATTATGTTAGTATGGGATGGTTTGGATAGGGATGATCCTGCCTCAGGCAGGGGGCTGGACTAGATGACCTTCCAGCCCTACTTCTTCAGCACTCTATAACTTTAGGCCAACTGAACTGATCCCACACTTGTTAAAAACTAGCAGAATGTCTTCTTTCCACTGAAACCAGTCTTGAGTGGGTCTAGGAGCCAGCCACCCACAGCTTGATAAAAAATATCTCAGATTGAAACAAACCTACAAATTAAGAGGGAAAAGGACCAATGCCTGATGTGGATTCAATGAGAAATTCATTATGCCAAGAGGACCTAAACTGTCCCCTACTTACCTTTTCCTTATTTTTTAATCATTACTGAAATTATTGAAGTTTGTTATTGACACTATATTCAGAAATGCCCAGCACATAAATATAATTTTAATTAGACTTAAAAAAAGGATGAATGGCATCTTTATCCAGCAACCAAAGAATTGATCAATAATGATCACCACACTGTATCAACTAGGCAAAATGACTATTTTTATTACATTTTACATCTGGGAAAAATGAAGCAAAGAGATGTAGTGACTTATCCAAGGTCATTCAGTAAGTCAGCATTAGTGTTGTGGCACAAGAGCTCCTGACTTGTAACTTTGTATTCGTTTTTTCTAAAGTTAACATGCCTTAGGAAATGAAGATGGATATTGAGACAGTACAGTAAGAACATTTTCTGCAGAAGTTAAACAATATGCTTCTTTATCCAAAACTAACATCTTCTGAAACTTACTGTGATAATATATGCCCTGTTATCACTGTTATCCTCACTATCATTCTTGAAAATAAAAAAATTAACAGAAAACTTCTTGATATCTTACACTTGTATTATATGGTGCACAATACTGCTTATTTGGCTAGGTTGCTGTCTGACATGCAGCACTGCATGTGGGAAGCATGATTTATAAAATTTAAAAATGAACTGAAAGCTTTTAGGCAAGGATTTTCTGCAGTCAATTAAGAAATAAAAGTGTCTGGGTTACACAGTATATGCTGAAGAACATTTTCAAAGCAAACTAAAAAATGTACAAGTAAATTAGTGAAAAAATGAATTGAAGCAGGAAATGGATGCGTTTAATAATGAAAATATTTTTATATTATTTAGTATTGTGTTTCTGGTTGCTTGCCATGCTAAATCTTAATTAGTTAATGTTTATAAAATATTTTGGAGATAAAAAATGCAACGAATTTACCGGTTTACTAAGAAGCTCAGCAA